ATTTAATAATGTCTCATTGAAAATGAAATATCGGATTTATCGGTTGAATTTGACGCAATCAGTTTTCAACCACAGATATGAAACAGGTTGATTATTATTGATCGTCAACCTTTTTGCATTCTCGAAAAGATGAATTTTTCTCTTTAAAATTGACTGCATTAGTGGTTGGTTGGCCAGGAATGAAAAATTACCCTCGTTAAGGAAAGGGAAGCCGGCTTTCTTTCACCTGGATCGTTATTTTTAAATGCCATCGACGTATTTCAGCGTTAATGTAGCACGTGAAGATGATCTTATACCAGTGGGTAGAGATAATTTATTGGCCGATCGACTTTCTGCGGATGATGAAAAGCTGGCTTGGAGTATCGCGTGCGTATAGAAAAAATGGCGTGGTTGGGGAAAAAAAGGGTGAAGTGCTTTTCACGATATATTTCCCGCGTTTCGAAGGGAAATGTTAAAATTTAACGCAATTTCCCGGACCCCGAAAGTACGTTTAGTTTGGTCCGCTGTTACCCTCCAGCTGTGATACATGATGCATGTTTCATAGCATTTTTCGACGCGAACAACGCTTTATTAGATCCTAGAAAGTATTTGGATTTATTAGAATATATATTTTTATTTTACCTAATAAAATTAAAATTCACAAATTTTCAAATATGGAAACGTAGTATGAGCTCATAGTATATTTTAAGTAATTTAATGAATTGTCCAAGATAACGTAATGAGAAATTTTGTAAAATAATAAATTTTGAAATTTTACAACTTGTAAAATTTTACTAATAATACGTTTAAGTTCATTTGTGCAATAGGATTCTAGTATTTAATTATTATGGAATTGATGCAGAACCGAGAAGTTGATCATTAATGAACAGTATCAGAAGCTCATTATACCAAGGCATATGACAGATGACTATCGATAACGTATACATATGTGCAGGCTAACGACAGATTAGGCGACCACCAAGGTAACGTCAGTCAAAGCCTGCACGATATACTTAATTTTGCAAGTAACCGATCACGATCAGTCTCAATTGATTACCCTCATCGATTGAATAATAGCGGTAAATTCCGTGTTTCGTCATATATGAATTTAGTGATCGTGTCTGACATACTATTGATTTATACTACTTGCGCACGAATGATAATGCTTTCAAATGCGTGTGCGTAAGATAATTAATAGCAATATATAAACATCAATTTGTTTTAAATTTAATTTAATGTTGTTTTATCTTATAACCATAGATATATCGCAACAGATACGAATTCCACAGGAAGGATCTGTAATCTTAAACAATTTAACCCTGATCCCTTAGTAATATCGATTACGTGCTATCCACCGTTGACCCGAATCCGTGGCTCGACATTTCATTACACGATCGATAAAGTAATGCGTCCGATGATTGAATTCCGCGTCTGTAAATCGATCGTCGTCGTTCGATCTTCGATTCCGCGTACGTCAAGGGAAATCGTCTAGCTGGATTGTGCCTCTGACGTTGACACGTTTGTCAAGCTTGACTCTATTCCTGGCGGTGTACAGCTTCCATGGAAATTGAACGGACGGCTTACGTGGACCGATCGTTGTACCGAGTCGTTTACATGCTAGACCCGGCTAAGATGTATCGTCGATAGAGTCGATTATTATCGAAATAACGAGCGTTCCCTATCCTTTGCAGCGCGTGTGCGATCCAGATGATCAGAACTTTCGAGAGTATCGATACCTTTGGACGCGTTTTCAAAGGCTGCGATGCGTCCCCACGGTACAATATCGCACAAAAGTATCGCATTACATATTTTCAACAAAAAGATTGAACAGCACAGTGAAAATTGTAGTTGATTGGTCATTAATTAATCATCTGTTTTCTCATAATTATAAGTCAAATTAATTTATTTTAATTTCGGGATTATAACAAGGTTATTAGCGCACAGTTTACTGACGATCAAAACTTCCAATGAGTTTTATTAGTTAGCTCAAAAAGGATGGAGGAACTAATGAAAGCACATTTGGAGGGAGGTTTTAACATTCGCAATTTATGACGTGAAATCAGAGAATTAATTAAAGAAATTCTGAGAATCCAACCATTGGCTGAGGTCTGTAAAGCTGTACACAATGACTTCTTATTGAAATCTTGAAACTCAAAAATAGCAAATATTCCCGATCGTATCGTAAACCACCCCCGTTGATCATTCTAACGCGCCATGCACAACATTACGCGAAGGAACTCTTTGTAAAGCTTGCTAGCCTTTCACAAACGTGTTTTTACATCCATATGGACATGCAATGCTCGCGTGTCCAAGAATTCAACCAATTCATCGCGCGATCATTTTTCAGAACGCTGCGTGACATTAAATTTGTCGACTTCCTTCGAAAGGATGCGGGGAGGAACGGGTGAAACGGAAACGACTGACATTTAATCAGGCTGAAGCAGATAAACGTGAGTTCTTTTATTCGTATCGTTAATATCTATGAATTCTATAGATTCTGTGCTTGACAATTCCTTGTCATTCATATAAAGTGTTCCGAGTTCTTCTGAACAAAAGATTGTTCACTTCTTACAAATAATTATATAAATGAGAAGTTTTGCAATTTGTATGATTTTGTATAACTTCATCTCAATCCAACTCTATTAACTTCAACATTTTATGGTCTTTAATTTAATCTATCGCAATGAAAAATATTATCATCGTGAATTTGAGAGGAAATATCGAGTTCTTGGGAATTGATTAATACAAATAGACTCAATGAACCCACAATATGTTCGTTCAGAAAGAGAACAATAGAATCGCAGTTAAAGCATAACGAACGTCCAAACTGTATAACGAAATCAATATCGAACTTTTCCATTGTTATCATCGGATTATAACCACTCGTCGAATCAAACATTAAAATTAAGTTTCTCATGCGGTTACGACCACCTCATTATTTCGAACGTTTAAAACTGGATATAGCAGATGGTGGCAAATTTTACGATTATTTTTCAACGAGTTTCATAATATTAAGGTGGACTTATAAAATGGAAAAACAGGAACGTTATTTTGTAGATGAAACACAGTAACAACGGAAGTATGTCAGGAGACATATGATGTTACTTATGAAGCATCGATTGCAAGCTTTCGTGCCTCGAGTAATCAGTTTTCTCCAGCTTTATAACGAAACAACTTTTTTTTTTGTATCGAGATAACTTCATCTTCCTTAGCCTATTCTTCTTTGTATTTGACTTTTTTTGTAATTTAAAATTCGTCTCATATTTTTCTGTTTTCAGTTGTATTGTTTACACGACGAATTGCTTTCAGAACATCAGTAAATAAAATTCTATTTCTTACGAAAATGAAATTGCTACCCTTATTTTTATAACATTCAATCGATTGGATCAATAAAATATTAATTATATGCAATTTCTATTTCGTTATTTAGTTGATAACCATGAATTGCTAGATTTTAGACGAAAAATTGTCTAAAAGTGGTTTCAAACATTTAAGGATATAAAAATCGTTGGCAAAGCTTTTCAAAGAGGTGGCATATAGAGAGAGAATAAAACGACCATTCAGCTTTACAAAAATACCCTACTTTATACCCATGAAAGAGACGGGTTTATTTATTAAAAAGAAAGAAACATATAAACATCAGTATTATGGCTGTGAAACGTCGTTTGCAAAAGGAGAGTAATGCATACTGTAACACAAAGGGAAAATCTTTGCTTTCGGAAAAGCACGTAAAATTAGCCTGAAGCGGACTTGTGAAAATGTTTACCACGATTGGGACAAAGTTGTTTTTAATAACGAGTGTCCTTTTCAGACACCGTTTCCTGTATGAAAAGCTTGACCTGTGAATGGAAATCCGCTTATTCGAGCCATTGTTGGACACCCCATAAAAGCACAAGCTTGCTGTGGCTTTCACACTTCATGGTACTTATAAAAAATTCAAGAGATTTGTGCGGTTATTTGTTCTTAATTGATCGAATTATTTGACCCTCGGACGGCGGACCATGGAGAGAGCCATAATATTTATTTAATTTTGTATTTCATATTATTTTCATTTTTTAAATTTGAAACTCTATTATTCGAATATATGAAAATTCCAATTTTTCATCAGTAGGTATTGCATATAATTCTAAAACGTTTCAAATATACAGGAAGGAGTTTTAGCAACAGACTGGTCGTTAGACAAGTTTTCGAGGTTTCATTTAAGTTGACGCGTGCTTACGAACGCATCAACGTGTCTCGCGTCTTTCTGCCACTGTTTGAATACACTCTGCCACCACACACGTCATAATTATCACGAGTTAAGACGTCCGCGGCGTTTTTTTTTTTCTCTCAGACGCCGTTCAGGAAACTAATTAGCTACCGCGTAACGAGCGTCGCACGAACAAAAAGAAGCTTCGTAATTAGTCGTGGCTACAGACTCAAGCTTGTATCGATCCTTGAAAAGATACATGCTCACTGGTCGAATATTATGAAAAATTAAATTCGAAATCTGTCATTTAAAAACTGAGAAACGAGCAGACAATTAATACCGTTGATAGAAAAACGGTTGATTGAAAAATTTCAAGTCATGAATAATAAAATTGCCAATTTATTTTTATGTATTTCCTATTGAAAATTTATTTCTGCAACGTTACTTATTCCAGTATTATTTCTTCAACGATTATACGATTGTCACCAGTTGCTAATCAAAGCCAGGAACTTATCTTCCCTCTTTACAATCCTTCAGTATTTCCCGCGCGAAACTCTTCAACTTCGCGAAAGAACAATATTCGCGGAACAATGTGTTAATTCGCGGAAGAAGAACTTGAAAACCTGTATAGCACCCAGGCGAATAACGAGCTGAAGTAAAACTTCCTTAGTAAAACTTTCTCATTGAAGATACAACTGTAAAACCTGTGCTATTCAACGAAATAAGAAAGAAAAAGAGAAAGAAAGAAACTTGGTTCTTTCGCGTGCAATAATCGTCATTTATCGCTTCATGAATTTTTAAATAAAAAATCTTCATTTGAAGTTTGACTCACCTTTAATATTTACATTCCTTCGTTCTGTTGCAGGGTCATAGAAGTCCTCTTCCGGTATCACAACAACATAACTCACATCTCGTGCAGCACGGTCGGCTGTCGACTGACTGTTTTCAGTTTGAAAGCTCGCAAGCTTCGGGGGCGACATCTGCCACCACCACGTGGATCCGTTCACTCCCACGCCACACGTGGTGATCCTACGAAACAGCCATTGTCCTGGAAAAAGCTCTGCTTTTCCATCTGCAACAACGGAAAACTGCGGCTCGGATATCGCGACGATGATCAACGCACCCTGACAACTACGATTCTACCCAGTATAAATAAAAGGGGAGCTTGCAGTCATGGTAATCCGTTCGCACGCTGCAAGCTGCATTCATTGGACCTGGCCAATTGGAATTTACGGTAACGACTCCTGTAACACATTTTTCCTTTCAAAAAACCCTATGTTTTTCTATTGAAACCGATGCTCCGTGTTCTTTTGCATATTCAACGGCAGACTCTTGACAGTTTTATTTTAGATCAGCGAAATTACACTGCATCGCGCTGGGCTGTTTCAAACCCAAAATATTCGAAGTTAGATATTTCAAAAATTTTTCAAAGTTCAAAGTGAAATATTATCCTGCATATTGCGTGCAAATCTCAATTTCAATTTACCTAATTAATTGAATTTCGATCTGGAATCCTTATTGAATTAATTGCTGTTTGTATCAGTTTACAAACAGATATTTAATTAGCGTCGAAATTGACGAAGATTGATCAATTTCTGAATGTATATCCTCTGTCAGTATTATTCGTTGGAATTGTCGAGGAGCATTCGTATTCTTTCGATTCCGGAATAGTCTTTATTGTCGTACGAGCGTTTTCCGTGAAAAAAATAAAAGCTGGATGACTTGTATGGACCACAGGTGCTCGTAAATTTCCGGCTTGTGACACCCCAGCGACCTTCCAATTACATTCGATGGATTAATCTCACGATCGAGTCGAGTTGCTGGACGTTTTCGGGCCGACGACCTATCCGATCGTTTGTTTTAATTCTGCAACCTCTTCTTCAATTCTTTTTCTAATCATCCTTCGCGTTGCCGATCGCTTCCTACCGCGATTGTTGAGCGTGTTCGTTCGTTTGAAAAACTCGTTTAAACCTGAATATTCAGCGCCCATCCTAGCCAGGGAATAATCTCTGCTGACTTTCCTTTTTGCCGTTCATTTTTGATCGCGTTTGCGATTTACTTTTTCGCTGCGACAAGAAATCCGTTCGCTCGATTTTGTCCGTTAGCGATCAAAATAAGCGATGCGAACTTTTCGCGAGAAATTGAAATTTTAGCTCGTCGAAAGTTCTCTTTATATTTAATTTTAGGGAAGATATTAGGTTGCTTCTATATTGCATGGTGAATTTTGAAATATAGAAAGTTAACCCAGATTAACCGAAGGAATTATTGATTTATCCAACGAAGATTGTACACGGTAAAGGAATTTCTTCCTCATTTGAATGGGTGGCGAATGAAAACATTCGAAGATACAACTTCCTGTTTTGCGAATCTGAAAGAAGCTTTCCACGAAAAGCTTTCACCCTTCTTCGAGACTTTTAAATCTACTTTATTCCAAGCTGATGAAAGATTTATTCACCCTCGTTGATCTCATAAATTCAGAATGACGAACCCTACTTTCTTTACCGATTATTCTACACGAATTTTGAAGGAGCTCAATTATCGATTTAGATGCAATTAAATTACAGTTTAATTTTGGTTGGAATAATTTTAGTATTTATAGTAGCTTGTTTGAAATTTGCCGTTTGGTGTGCAATAACCTGAAACGTTCAATCATAATTTCAATAAAGTTTATAACAAGTATCTCGTATAGTGTAGTAACTTTTATCAAAGATTCTGTTTGCTTTCTCCGATTTCTTCGTATGCAAAGTCGGGGCTGGTTTCGTCTATTCCCGCGTGGCACATCCTCGCAAAAGTTTCCATAAAGTGGACTAGGAAACTTATCGATAGGATCTCCTTAATCGGTTTATCTCGATATCCGGATCGAAGGCCGCTTATCGATCTTCGATGGTTCTTCCTCATTGTTGCAGCCGCATATCTTCAACGAGTAAGGTGCATGCTTAATGCAAACTTGAAGAGGAAAATTTCCTTCATATCCTGCATAGCACGTAAACTGTCCAACCTTTAAACTATTCCATCATCGATACTATTACCGAATCGCAGTTATTGCTTGTGAAATGTTTCGTCGTTAATTATTATTGTCTATATTATATATCTGCTCGTTTTTCTTAGAAGCACTGTAGGTGCAACGAATAAGGTTTATACGGTTATTTCATCCTCAGCCTCTTCTTTGTGTTCTCCAATAACATCGTAAAAAGCCACGGCAACTTTCGTGGTAACCGTGATTAATGATTATCTTTGTCTTAGGCTGTGCACAGGACCCACGCATTCATGCACTTAAAGTCGATCCACGGATTATCGACAACGATTTCGCGTGGATCATCCTTCGTCGAGCTCGTTCACCCCCGATAAGACGATGAGTGTCGAATAAAAGACAAAAAGCGTTTTAAATCGAGCCCATTACGGCAACGTTTATCGTACGGATAAGCGTAAATCAGCTTGCGTATAACGTTCAAATTCCTTTATTTAACGCCTTACCTTTATTTAACGCCTTACACTTTTCTTTATTATTTTAACCGGAAATTCAGGAACACTTTCTCCGCTGCAGCTTGTTTTTCTTCTTTCGAGTACTTGATCAATTTCATTTTTGATTAGGACGATCACTTATCGAGGCTCTCGAAAAATTGATAGTAAAAAGAAGAAAAACACGATCTAATAATGCTAGATAAACATTCCATAATTCATCTGTCAATCGCGTGCTGTATAAAGTTTTCGCTTTCACGAAGGGTGGAAAATGTGCTTGAAACAGCAAAGGAAGATTCAACAGGCTTTTTAATAACGAATCAAGAGAACCATTGAACTTTCACTGGAGGGTGCTTGAAGTTTTTCGCAATGTCGCTTTCTATCCTCTGTTTTGTACAATTTAAAAATCGCTGCCACTATCTGTGACCGATCTTCTTTCATGTCGCGTCTTTATTTCAGCGATCATTTGAAGTGCTCGCAAAACAGTAGTCACATTTTCCTGGTTTTTAAGCTTATCGTCTGTGCTAGTTTTTTCGTCGACGGGACGCATTGGCATTTACAGTGCTCGCGAACTTCTGTTTCAGAAAGAATACTTCGCGTATCTCTTGAAAAAATTTCGTACACAACAATGGAAGAAAATTTGAAGGGATCGTAGAGGGAAAATTTTTAATTCGTACGGTTTAATCGATAAAAACAACAACAAGCGTGAACAATGAGGAAGATGATGAAAAGGGAAGAAGTTAAAGAGGACGTTGTTCGATCCAAGAGGGTTGGCACGTAACCCCTTAGGATGATCTAGTTTTGCCGGTTGCACGACTCCTAGCATTAAGCATTGTTTGCGGTCGATAGTTTCCCACCCTGTTCACGTATATGTATATATACCAGGACATGGCAGTTGACAGTTTTTGCTTGATTAATTGTAACGCGTGTCATCAGCCTACGGGAATAGTTTAGTCAGCCGCGAGTGAGCTCGTTGTCGCTTCCATTGCGGTTTTTCACTCTCCTCTCCTCGTTGCATTGCCCGCCACCATGAAGAAAAACGTTCTTTTCAAGTCCCACTGGGAAATTTGCGTATAACGATTTTAGAATTGCCAATTCAGACCGTCGTTTTTCATCTGAAATTTCGGACAATTTAGCGAAACCGCTCGATTCTTGCGCTTCTGATTTTGACTTTGTTTGATGGCTTTAGGATGGTCTCTCGGAAATTTAAATTTGTTTGCTACGTATTTATTGCTACGATTGTGGACGTTTATATAGATTTTAAAAATTCTTTTTATTTTGTTTGTTTTTTATAATGCATAGGGATTGGATGGTGCATTTTTATACATTTACATGATGTTCCTATATTAATTTTAATAAATTAATTCTATAATTAAGGTACATTATGAAGGTACATTATCTATCGGTGCTGTTCTAGTAAAAAGTAAAAAGTGTAAAGGTATTATAACAGCAGAGTGCTTCGATTCAACCCGTTACCGATCGATTTTCCGAAACAGCGGAATACTGGCGCTGTCTATTTGGAATAAATTGAAACTAGTTACTGACTTATCGTCCGACCCGCTGGCATTCGATAAGTTGTCGACTTATAGATCGTTCCTTCGGCAATCGGTAAATTGTCGTGTAGTTTTCCCTGTTTCTTGATAGAGGACGCTACTCTTCCGGTATTTCGGAAAATCGATCGGTAACGCATTGACCCGGTAGTTTGAGCCGTTTTTGTATAGACTCCTGTATAGAAGTAGGTTTCATATTTGCCAACCAAAGTTAGCAAAATTGTTAAATATTTTTCATCACTGTAACAGTGACTACAGATCCAACAAGAATGGACATGACTTTGTTTTCGAGGAGTAGTCAATTTGTGAATCTTCCTGTACAAATGCCTTAGTTGAAGTAGCATTGGGTGCTTTTTATAGGTCTAGGTCACTATTAACCCTTCTCTGCCGTTCGGGGGTTGAAGAACGCCTCCATGGATACCAGTCAATAAGGGAAATCGCGATACTAAAAGTCGCGTCTATACCACATTCTTCCACTCAATATTATTTTTCTGTTACCCAGTAGTGTTTCAATACGAGATTAATATTTTATTTTCAGATAACTTGGATTAATAAATTATTAAATATAAAAAATAGGGAAAGTTTATAGTGCAATCTGTATTTCGTTAGTTTTATTTAAAAATTTGGGTAAACTTACTTTTAATACAAATCACTATTCGGAACGAGATTTCTTCTTTTTATTAATTATAGCTCTGATCGAAATCCGACATCATGATGGACATGGAGATGAACGCAGGTTTAGACGTAAGTACATCTTTTTATGTTAAATAATTTTAGAAAATTACATTTTATTTAACGGTAATTGTTCGAACAGAGACTTGGTAGTGTTAATAAATAATTGAGATTAAAATAGAATCTTAAAGGGCTTGTCAGATACTTTCAAAAAATCTGTTAAAATAAAAATAAATTTAAAAAAAGAATTATTGTAGAACAAGATTAACTATAAATCAATTTAAACAACACAGTAGATAAAAAAAACAAATGAATTGCTGCAGCAACGTGAAATTTAAATCAGTT